CACCCCCCACACCCCATAGCATTGGAGCTGCATTTGCATTTGCAAAACGGAGGCTGAATGGAGGAACTGCTGGGCCCGGTGTGTAGGCCCAGGGCTGCTCCTTTGACACGTGGGGAGAGCGGCACCCCAGACCCCTCCCTGGTGCACCAGCCACTCTGATCCCAACGCCCACGGCACGATCCCGCTCAGAGGCCCCGCACGCGGACCCCTGTAGCGAGTTCCCGCGTGATCATCGGAGAGGAGCGCCCACCCCTTCGAGTGGCTTCCTGCTGCAGGAGAAGCCGTGACCCACTGAGCCACCCCCGACACCGGGGGCAGCGCGTCTGGAACGGACAGACACTTGGCCATGAAAATTCTACACGGAAGAGAATCCGTGTCCCGGTCCCCGGGGTGAATGTGAAAAAGCCAAGCCCAGCCCGTGTGGCTCAGTGGTTGAGCATCGACCTGTGAACCAGGAGGCCAGGGTTCGATTCCCGCTCAGGGCACAGGCCCGGGGTGCGGGCTCCATCCCCAGCGTGGGGTGAGCAGGAGGCGGCCGGTCCCTGATTCTCTCTCATCCTGATGTTTCTGTCTCTCCCTCTCCCTTCCGCTCTGAGATCAATAAAACGATATTTAAAGAAAAAGAAAAAGGAAGGGCCCTGGCAGGAGTGGGCCGAGGGCACCGCCGCCAAGTCCCGTCCGTGTGTCGGTGGGGAGGTGCTGGGAGCCTGGCGGTGCTCTGGCCCCTGTGGGGTGGGACCTCCTGCTCCCAGGCCCCCGCGGGCCCTGTGCTGCGTCCACGCTGTCCCGGCTGCTCCGGGCCAGGCCAGCCCCGCGGGGCTGTGGGCGTCCCACGGCGGGATGGCCCTGCGGCAGGAGAGGCCGGCTCCTCTGGCGGCCTGTGGCCGGTGATTGCGTCACACGCGTCCCTGGGATATAAACCGGGTGCCGGGCAGCGGCGTGGAGAGCGCTGGGCAGCGATGGGGGCCGGGCTGCTGGGCGCCATCCTGGGCCTGGTCCTGGTGCAGGTGGAGGTGGCCGTGCAGGACCTGGACCTGCAGAAGGTGGCTTCCCGGCCTGGCCTTGGGGAGAGGGGTTCGGGAGGGGCCCCGTGTCCAGCTGCTCCAGGCCCCGTCCCTCTAACCCCCAGCTGAGGCCGGAGCAGCTGCCCTGACGGGGGCCCAGCACCCACCCAGGTCGGCCCCCACCTGGCGCTGGGGACACAACTTCTTTTCTGTTGCAAAAACGATCAGCGGAGATTCCGGTGACGGAGGGCAGAGCTGTGTCTCTTCTGTGGGGACAGGCTGCTGGCGGCTGAGGGCCCCACAGGGCCACGCGCTCCTGGCTGGTTTTACAGCTGGCGCCCTCTCAGCCCTCCCCTCCCCCTGCCCTCCCCCGTCCCTCCCAAGGGCAGGCAGCAGCAGAGGCGCTTCCCCGGGGACTGCACAAAGGCCTGGGGGAGGGGCCCCCGTGGGCTTGGCCGGCTGATGTCAGAAGGGGCCCCTCCCCAGGGTGACCGCCTGCTCCTTTGCCCCGAGCCTTGCGCTGTCTGCTGACCTTTCAGAACTGGCAGCTCCCTCCCCGGGGGGCTGGGGGCCCCACCCCTGGACCTCTGTCCAGCGGCCCCATGGTCTTGGCTCTGCCCCTCCCTCTAGATGGCGGGGTTCTGGCGGGAAGTCGGCGTGGCTTCCAACCAAAACCTGGCGCTGAAGACCCCGCGGCGGCCGGAGGCCTTGTTCCTGACCCTGCGCGGGGCCGAGCTGACTGTGAAGGCCGCGTACAACAGGTGAGGCCCGAGCTCGCGGGGAGCAGGTGTCCGCCAGGTACCGGGGCGGCCCAGCTGCACGCTGGTGGCTCTGGGGTGTGGACGGTGTGGTCACTGGTAGGCCAGCCCTCCCTGCGTCCACCACTGACCACTAGACCCTGTGCTCCTGGCAGCCCGTCTCTCCTTTAGCATCAGAGCCGACGACGCCGTCCTTGTGTGGGAAGGAAGTGGCTTCAGGGAAGGCGGCTCCCGTGGTCCTGGAGCCACGGAGGGGGAAAGGAGGAGGCCAGGGGGCTCTGCCCTGTCCTTCCTGAAGACATGCCCCCCCCTCCCCGCCCCCCAGTGTGCCCAGCAGGAGACGCAGTCTGGCTTTTCCTAATGAGCACTTTGCTGCCTTTCAGCTCAGGAAGTTGTGAGACAGAAAACATAGTGGGCTCAGAGGTCGATGTTTCGGGGAGATTTGTTTTTCCTGGTAAGAACGTTGTCCTGTTGTTGCAGTTACAACCCCGTGGCCCTGCACACCAGCAACGTGGCCTTGCTGCTCCCACTCGGTTCCTTGTGCTGTTCTCTGCTGTTCCCTGTGCTGTTCCCCACTCTGTTCCCCACTCTGTTCCCTGTGCTGTTCCCCACTCTGTTCCCCACTCTGTTCCCTGTGCTGTTCCCCACTCTGTTCCCCACTCTGTTCCCTGTGCTGTTCCCCATTCTGTTCCCCACTCTGTTCCCCAT